GTGTTGCGTTGCGTTCATGACTCAGATGCTTGGAGCTGGAGAACACGATGCTGACTTTGAGCCAGGAGAGATTTCGAATGCAACTGTATTCCAACCTACTTAATAGTCAGTGGATGTGCCAATAATTGTGCTCATTTCATTGTATAATAAATCAATAAACTAGATCAAAATGGTTCATTAGAATAACAGTAAAGTAAAGAACCTTGAACATGTATATAATTTCGAACGACAAGAGGAGCCCATAACCCTAATCTCCAGGTTGTTATTACGCATGCGTCCCGTGTATGTAGCCAGTATTAGTTTGGACTTCCACTACGAATGTATGGAATGTACGTAACGCAATTTGATCACGCGCGTTTGAACCTTCTATCACTCGTAATCTAATCACGCGCGTTTTGGCTATCTCTCACGTGAATCTTTACGCAAGGCATAGCGCTGGGCTTCGGTCGTTGTCGCCCGCACTTCGTAACCTAGTTTGGTTATTACAAGTATTATCTTTTAAAGTCTTTTTATGTAACTTTTCAGTTAGTCGGCCATCTAGTAGGACCTTGAGGGTTTTGGAAAAAAGCCTGAAGTTGATGCGTTCAGCAACAAGTAGCCATTGGAGCCTAATAGAAGGATGGGCGTGAAGTGAACGAAAATAAGAGATTCTGAATGAAAATCAATGCAGTTTGTAAAGTTTGCATTTAAAATGTCACATTCCATGGACAAAACCATCTCATAACAAAATGTTTCAACATCTATCGCAGTTTCGTTTTGTGGGTGTTTCTTCGCTCTCATGGTCACCCCAAGCGCGAAATAAGACGGTCATTCAAAAAAATCTTTCAAAGATTATTAACCCAAATGAACCAGATCCCTGCAATTGTCGACAATTTTAGATAATTTTAGCCGTACTTTGAAACACTGTAAATTAAAAAGATCTGTTTCAGCCCAAAAGTGCCAACTTTTTTAACCCTGCTGGCCAAAGTCTGATTCAGCTTCTCCTGAAGCTATTTGAGCTTCATTTAAGCCAAAACAGCCCTAATCAAAAGCCCATTCCAGCCCACGCTGGGACTCATTTCGGCCGGTGGATCCAAATCACTGCTAGGTCTGTATTGGCCCTGATTAGACCCAAAAACGAAAATGCCCCAATTTTTGAAGCTGAAACGGATCTTTTAATTTACAGTAGAATGGTTATATATAGATAGCAAAAATTATTGTTCCACAACAAAATAACTGTGTATGAATGTAGAAGAACACAGAAGAATAAATAAATGCCAAGAAGGAGCACGGGCGTGAAAGTGCAGATCATAATAATTAGAATCGAGTTGCCAATTTGTTAGGAAAAGCTCGCATGTAACGAAAATAAACAAAAATGGCCGTTTTCATGCTAGAGACGGACAAGACAGACAATCAGTCATCAAAAACTGTTTAAACACTGATGAAGTCAGACGGACAGCAAGCCCAAAATAGAATTGAAACGACCCATTTTCAAATTAAATCGGATTACTCGACAGATATAATTATCCGAAAAATACCCTTCTAAGACGGATAATCATCAATCTCTAGAGCGAACATGGAATGTTACTAAAAAGGCGAAAGGGGAGCGGGGAACGAGCACGGGGAACGGGAAAAATGAAAAATGGGAACAAAACCTAACTTGAACCCTGGCACTATCATTATCTTCATTCTCTTCATTTCTAATACTCATTTTTCATTTTCCCGTTCCCTGTGCTCCGAGTAAACGGCCACATACGAAAACACGTGACCTATCACCTATAAAACCCATAACTAATGAATATTTCATATTTTCAGCGCATCCAAATACGGATATTCCACATTAAAACTGTGCTTGCTCCAGAAAATTCTCTGATGGATTTTAATTTGTCCAGATCAGACTTCTTGGAATGCGATGTAGTATAAGTATATGACTTTTTGCGTGAAACCCATATCGCCGCTTGGTGAACCCGAGTAAACAGCACCCAGCGTGGAGAAGTCCAGCGTAAATAAAAATTATATATTATATAAAAATAATTACAGTATTATTTGATCAAAAAAAAAAATGAGCTAAAAATTACGTTGCGTAATCGCGACCAGCTGTTACCGATCAGAAAATTTATTGTTATTCTTCACGAAAGAACACGAGGAGTTCTTCAGACGCTTTTCACAACAGTTTACATTCAAAATAGAGTTGCCAAAGAACAAAGTATGCAAACTCGTAAACTGCCATACGATTCACTGTTTGGTTATCTGGTCATGGCTTGAACTACGTACGCCGGTCGGCTAAATGTCCTATCATGGGGCGGTTATCGCCATAATTAATCGCGAAGATTGGCAATATGAAATAAACGTTTTACACTAAGAAAGTATGTCACTATTACGACTTTTAAAAATATATAATAGGCGTGCCAGTCCTATACATGCGATCCACACTCGAAAGTTGGTCGGGTAGACTATACGGAAGCCATGGTCTTGGCCGGCCTGGAGTCTCTTTTAAGCCCCATTTACACGGCCGAAAATTTTTGGCAGGGCTCGGATGAAAAAAGTACGCGTACCAAAAAAATTGGTTCGGCACGGATAGATTTAGTCGTGTAAACGACTTTGCCCCATCCATGCCGGACCAAAATTTCACCCGTGCTCGGACCATGTCGAGAGGTAGTCCGAGCGCGGATAAAACTGGTACGCGATCGTGAAAATCTAGCCCAGCTCGGATAAAGTGTGCAGTGTAAACGATTAGCCGTGCCGAGCTAACTTTTCTCTGATGAGCCTTCGTGCCTTTGGTCAGCACCAATGTGGGAGAGCATGTACAGATGAGCTTTTTCGTTAGTTCAATATAAACCAAAAGTTCACTAAACACGACAGTAGTTCAATGACCACACGTTAGTTCATTGATGAGCGTGGACAACATGCAGCTGCGGGAGAAATAGCCACAAATACTTTAGAATTTTTTAATATAAATGTGTAGCATCAAGAGATCATTCTCTCTTGGTAGCATTAACTAAGTGGTAAATACTTTTTCGTTGGTTCAGTGTGTTCAATAACCACACAATAATTCAATAACCGCACTAGTATTCAATGACCACCCATTTGTTACTTGTGCGTAGACTACATGCAGCTGTGGGAATTCTAAGAACTTTTCGTCCGCCATGTTTTTACAGAGGAAGCAGCATGCGCACTAGGCAAGAATCGAGTACGCTGGCCGAGATGTTGAGCCTTTTACCCGTACCAAATCATAATTTCACATCGTTTAGCACGGTAGAAAAAAGAACGTGTAAATGAATAATCAGTACTATTTTTTTGGTACGCGTACCACTTTCATCCAAGCCGCGCCAAAAAATTTCTGCCGTGTAAATGGGGCTTAAGTGACAGGAGAGCAGGAGCTTGTAAACGGTTTATGGCTACTGCACGCCAAATGTCCCCCTTAAGAACATCATCCCCTCTCCTGCCGCTGTTGAGTCTCATTACAGTATAAGGGTCCAACTTCCAAGAAATCAACATGGTCATACCAGAAGAATTAATGACTTTGTAACTTATAAATTTCAGTGAATGTATGTAACTGGTTAATTGTATGTGGCAATGACCTTCCCCAACAATTCAGTTATTGCTGCAAGTGGGTGAAATAAACAGAATATCTATCATCTTTTAAAGTGAATCGTGTTTTTAACGCTTGTCTGCAAGGAGTTTCGAGCGCTTTTTACGCCAATGCAATGCCGAAGACAGCGCAGGGTTAATAGTCAACTCCGTTACGTAGGAGAATCATCGGAGCTGACACGGTTCTTTTTAAAGTCGTTTCACTAGAATCGATAGGAGTAAGTTCTAACATTTTCGGAAAATTACACGATACTGATCTTTTCAGACGAACAAGGTTCTCTACTTTTTGTATCTGTTCATTATCTTTCATGGTACCACGCACCTCTTTTTGTCTGGTGAATCGCACTACGTACCCTGTATTCTTTGCTTTAGGTTTTTTAATCTTCAGAATCTCGAGCACGGCGTTCCTAAAACGGCAGTCCCTGTAGCAGTAAATGAGTGGATTAACCACAGAATTTGAAAGCACCAGTGCCTCCGCTATTCGCCATGATGACATTTTATGAAGAATGGGAAAAACCTCAGCCAGAAAAGCGACAGAAACAACAGGAACGAAGGAAAGAATCAGTGCCGCTGTAACCAAAGCAGTAGTCTTAGCAACCCTGTTGTCGATTTTCATTGTCATTAACTGGCTGACCTGAGGAATAATTTTATTGAATTTGCGTTTGCGAACTTCACGGTATATCATGACGTAAAAATATACGATGAGTACTAGAATACAAAGTATTGAAACAGCTGGAATGGTGAACATAATCTGTTGGACGATATTATTCTCATCCCCACCGACCGCTATAACAATGAGGTTTGGGCTCAATACGAATACTGTTGCTGAAATCCGTGCTATCGTTGCCAGCTTTTGCAAGCGGCCTTTAGTCACTATAACTCTGTAATCCCTCCATTTTCGAATGGCCACGTACCTCTCCCATGCAACCAGTGCCAGGTGGAAAAGCGAACAAAATGTCAGAGTGAAGGTGGACAAGGAAGTTACCTCATCTAACGTGCAAATATTTTGTTCAGTCAGTATTTGATAGACAAGAAAGAATCCTTCTAAAGCAGACAACGGCACACATATACCACCGCCTACAAGGTCCGTAACGGCCAGACTTAACAACAGAATATTGGAAAGTTTCTGCAATTCTTTCCTTTTCTTTACTGCTATGATTACTGACGCGTTTAAAAGAACTGCAGCAGGTGAGATTATAGAAGCGAAAGAGGCCACAACCCAAGGCGAAATGGTATCACTCACCTCCCATACTAATTGTGGACCACGTGGACACTAAAACGTTGACCTGTTTGTATTTGAGAAGACGGTGGCTGTTTCGGTCTCTTTGTGGTCCATGATGATGAAACGCCCTCTGGAGTTAACTCTCTGCTTTCTTTACGCTGTCGAACGATCCGCTTCACAGCCTTCCTCAGGCTTCTAGTGATTTTAAAAGGGTGAAATTCTATTATAAAATTTTCCCAACATTATCAATGAATAGGCACTGAATGTGAATTTGTGATGATCAATAACGAACCGGAAAGAAGACAAGAAGAACCAATTAAAACAGGATGCGCGAAGGAACCCAGAGGATGCTGTTAAAATTGACGTGGGCTTTCGTACCGCTGAAATTTCCGATTAAATGCAGCCGGGATAATGAACTATACGTGTAATTGTCTGTTAACATGTTTGTTTGAATATTAACCCTATTTTGTCCAACATAAGAAATTACAGGTAATTGTCGGTCAAGTTCGTTTGCTTCTGAGTTTTTTTTTAATTTGACTCACACTGCCATGACAGTGAATGTGAGTGTTATCACTAAATAATACGTCATTGTTGCTCAAAAGGAATTGCTAGGAAATTATACACAAGAGTACAATCAGATTCACATGCTTCCCTAACTTCACACTTTCTAAGGACGTTTCACAGAAGAGTGGTGTTTTCTTAAAGTGTATATGACACGAAATTTATCAAAAGTGATTTTGTCTCCAAAAAGATTTCTCGAATTTTGGCCTTCTAAAATTACTTTTTAACTGGGTTGCCTCAAAGCACGCCCAGTTCGTAATTCTGGTTGATTCGCTTGTCTCCGCTAAATACGGGCACTGTTAAATATTAACCCAGTTTAACCCAGAAGGCGTTGCGTGTTTCGACGAAGCATGTTTTCCTATTTCAGCCATGTAAATTTTGCAGCTGCAACTTAAAGTTTGCCTTTTCATTACTATATTTACTTCTGTTTTATTGATGCAACACACGCCTTTTTAGAGGTCTAAATTTCGGATAAGGGTACGGACTCGGAGACGGAATTTACACATTGAGAATTTCGCACACAAATTCATCTCATAGCCTGCGAAGCTGGCGGTTTATTTGCTGTTGTTTGGCTTGGCGAGAGGGCAAATGAGCGGTGAAGAGAAATAGGAACCAGAGCAAGGTACTTATTAGTGCAAAGTTTGGTGACTTTGCATGCCGTCTCACCCCTCCGCACCCTAAAAAAGTTTAAGATCTGAACGCTCTGAAACGTGGCTATTTTTTGCATTTTTTCATGAGGTATTTCTTCAGAAAAAAATCAGTCTCGTTCAACTGGGAATTATTTTCCCAAGTAAACTTTTTTTTTCAATTTTGGGTTAAAATCTAGACGACGCAACTGCTTCATTTTGCCTCTTGCTAGCTTCCCAATCGAATTTTTTGGCCATTGTTCGTGCCTTTAGGCCTTTCGCTCCAGTAGTTTTTTTTCTAATATTCTAAAATGAGTCATAGAAAGTCAATATTACTTGTATGTGCACCTCTGCAGGCAAACTGTCTCTTTATTTTGATCAGTGGATTATTTTTACTTAGACTAATGCAAATTGTTCTTAAAATACCCTCATTGTCAAATATAATATTCCATTGTATGCGTCATATTCAAGCCATTACTAGCTAAAAGTTGTATAAAAGCATTACTACACAAAGGAATTAGTCTATTATCCAGATTCAATTCTTTAGGGTTCTCAAGTGGCCTCGAAATTTACAGCTGAATTTATCTACATCTGAAAAATGGCAAAGTGTTTTCGTGTAGCCAATAGGGCTAGATACTGTAAAAAATCCTTGACAACTACCACTCTGAATATGTCATAATATGGTTACTTGAACTCGAATAAGATGAGAGTTTCGTCATTCTTTGGTATAGTATGGTTAATTTGACCTAAATATATTTTACAAAATTTTACAAAATAATTTCTTCACAATCTGGTTATGATGATAAGATTTCACTGCGATCGATCAGAACCTTAATCTAGTGGTGATAGGTCGAAACTCTTATCATAGAAAAATCTCTACATTTAAAGCTACCAAAATTCGTACAATTCTTTCCCATTGGCGAATTTAGGACGAGGGTCAGGGGGTCTGTACCCCGACTCCTTCTTGAATACACCCATAGAAAGAAACATCGTCCCCAATGAATACACCCAAAACTTGTCTACGACTTGTTGGGTATGAAACAGGCTAGTATGTAGTTAAGCTTACAGGAAAGTTATGTGTGACGCCAAGTTAGGAGAGAGGTAAGTAAAAAATAATTAATAAATGCTTCTCCTCTCTTCTTGAGAAGATTTTCAGGGATAATGAAACAAATACTTTAAATAAAACATAGCGGGGTTACGAAATTCGACTGCCAGGAGGTAAACTAGTTGGTTATACAGCTGTTATAAAGCGAGCCAAAGGATTTGCACTCGAGACTACCGAGAACAAATCCAGCTAGCGGTCAGGAAGGGACTTGAACTCTTTGCCACCAAAGTGCAAGTCCAACGCTCTTGTGGCCACTCGACTACGCTACCTGTCTTTGAAATAGTTTCAAAACTGCAGAGGATTTTGGTACAACATAGTTGCTTCTTTAGGATTTGATGGAGCCGAAACCAAAGATGGAATTTCGCGCATTTTAGGAATCCTACTGATGAGCGGTTACGACAGTTAAATATTAGAGGAGCAATAATGGTTTATAGTCACAGTCCCCTATCAGTTATATTAAGGACCCGCTAATTACAAGCCTGATACCCGACTCTGCCCCTTAGTGTTCGAATTCAGGATGTTCGACTGTTCTTGTGATTGAAATACAAAAAATACGGAAAAATTAAGTTAACCGAGAATTCAGCCATTTTTTTTGCTCAAGTACCGAGCCTTTTTCTTTCGTTCCTTTAGAGATGGACTCTCAACTGAGTCGTACAAAGTCAGCCTTTTGGAAGCAGAAATTAACTGAGATACGGAAGAATCCGGAGAAGAATTCCGCACCATGTCACGAACAAATTTTGCAAAATTTAGATTGTTCTCCCTGTTTGAGGGATTAAGATTAGTGTTATTTTGGCGTTCTTGGGCATTAGTGTCTGCAGTATTCTGCGTCAAGCAGCTGGCCATTGTTGAAGCACGTGGATTGACCATAGCAATCGACTCAAAAACGTCATCACACTCATTCTCAATGGAACAAGTCTCACTATGTGGCGCTAATTCGGATCCACCACTCTCTGTTTTCAAAAACCGCACTCGTCTTTTGTGAGGATGGACATTTTTGTTTTTCACAACGCCGCTCGGGTCTCTTACTGGATTCTCCTCTGGCAGTGCATGCGCAGTCCAAGGGAAAGCAGGCACCATCTTCGCTGGGGCTGACTGTGGTTGACTTTTAAGTGGGGGTAACTTTGGGTATGTGCGTCTTGGCACAGGCGACGAGTTGGTGACACATAAATTTCTTTTTCCATGGCGCATAGGAGGAAGAGTAGACTTACTAGTTTCGCGTAATGAAGCTTCTTTGTAGTTCAATGCTTTCATTTCTTTTCCATTGCTTCCCTGCAAGTTTGGCATCTTTAGTGACGCTGTTTCCCTTTGGCTACTAACCGGTGGTCGCAAAAAGTCTCTTTTCCACTTTTTCGACAAAGAAACTCCTCTTGTCACCTCATCCTGTTGATCTTTAACTGACTTTCTGCATAAGCTGGACATCTTTGTAGCGCCTGACCGTCGAGTTTGTGTCAAAGGAAATGGATCCTCTAAGTCTTCTCTGCCTTTCCTTTCTCTTCCTTCCAGTGACCTCTGAGCAGCTTTTGGAATGACTGAATTTCTTTTATGACCAGTTCCTTCTCGAACAGTAGGCCACTGGAAAGTACATGGCGGCTGTACCGGGGCTGACATTGATTGTTGAGATGACGGGAAAGCAATGGCCAATGAATTATTAGAAGGTAATGGGGCAGAGTTTGTAAAAGACACAAGCTTTCTGCCTCGGCGTGGATGAATAACTGTCACCTTTTCACCTGCCACCTTTTCACTTGCCGTAACAGCGCGTGGTGGTTTGCTTTTCACTGGAGGTAATGGGGAATGTCTTACCACGGCTTCGGTGGTTACTGATGTCTGTGTCGCCTTCGTCTGTTGTTTTACACATTGGAAGTGGGTAGCACTCTCACTCCCTCCTTCAACAGTGTTCGGGATTTGCTGATTGTTCTGCCGTTCCATCACAACGATTAAGGTGGTAAAGATTGTCAGAATATCGTTTAAGAAACCCATACGAGATCTTCAATAGATATTATACATTCCTATCCAATCAAAATTTAAACCTCGACAGGTAAAAGACACAGCGTCAACCAATGATGGGTACGTTTTTGAGGAACGTGCTCAGTTGCAAACCCATAAAGAGAAAACAAAAGAACCGTCAACCAATCATGTCACAGCCTCGTTACAGGTGTGTCTAACCACCGGAATGTAACGTTTTTTAAGCTGACCTTGACGGCGGAACATATCAAAGCCACGCCCTGGATTGAAAA